CCAGTATGTATATTTTAAAGATACTTTGACTTCAAAATTTGGATGTAAGGATATGTTGCTTTGGAAAAGAGTCTCTTTTGTTTCCACAGAAAGCAAGAGGCTATGGATTTGTTCCAGATTAAGACACATCAGGTTTGACCAGCCAAGACCACCTGAAAGGTCTCCGATGACACCATGGCCCAGATGATCCAACATCCAGAACCGTTTCAAGGCAACTGGCTCAGATGATACAGCCTCACGGACTACTCCATGATCCTAAAATTTTCTTTGTTTCCCCAGAAGATACAGCGCCCCCCTCCAGCAGGAAGTAGTAAGAGAAGCTACGCCCAAATTCCCAAATATACCAAGCTGACTTTGGAGATGTGTAAAGGTTAAAACCTTCCTTTTTAAGAAAAGAAAAGGGGAAGTACTGTGGGATGGTCTGTATGTCAAATGTGTTGCTGATTGGTCAATAAATAAATCACTGATTGGCCATTGGCTAGGCAGGAAGTATAGGCGGGACAAGGAGGAGAATAGAGCTGGGAAGTGGAAGGCTGAGTGGCAGAGACACTGCCAGCCGCCATCAGGACAAGGAAGATGTAAAGTACTGGTAAGCCACAAGCCACGTGGCAAGGTATAGATTAATAGAAATGGATTAATTTAAGCTGTAAGAACAGTTAACAAGAAGCCTGCCACGGCCATACAGTTTGTAATCAATATAAGTGTCTGTGTTTACTTGATCGGGTTTGAGCGGCTTGGGACTGGTGGGTGAGAGAGATTTGTCCTGACTGTGGGCCAGGCAGGAAAACTCCAGCAACACTACTTCACGAGATGCAGCGAGAGAAAGGTAAGAAATACTGCTCAGCCTTCCTGGGACATCCAAGAGCAAATGAGGGACACCTTGATTGCTTTCTGGTGCCAGACTCTTGAGTGTACAGTCTCATTGGATAAGAGAACGGACAAGATATAAGAAGTCTGCAATCATAAAAACAAAACAATCAAAAAAGCCAGAAAACCCAAATTGGGCAGTAAGATGGTTCAGTGGGTAGAGGCTGGCTACCAAGCCTGACAACCCGAGTTCGATTCCTGGAGCTACAGGGCAAGGTAACTCTGCAAATTAGCCTCTGGTTCCACACAAGTGCATGCCTGCAGGAATGCCCCCACACACACACACACTAAATTTTTTTTTAAGGGGACAATGCTAAATATCGAATAAACACTTAAAATTCTGTGAAGTGCTTAGGCAGAGATTAGGAGTTGGTAAAGCAAGGAAGTCCAGCTTGCCTCATGAACAAAGACTAAACAACAAGCCCCAAAGGAAACACGGAAGACCAGAGTGAAGAGAGCCTTGGCTGCCTGACTTAACTTTCTACCTGAAACGCCAGGCTGTTACATGTAGGAAGTCTTTTTCATTTGGAATTCAGTCTTGCTTTATTCCCAAATCAGGACTGGAAATGGGAATTATGAAGCCAAAAATATCAAACAGCCTTAGATTCTTGGTTAAAAACATCCGCGGTAACACGACTAAGCTTCCCTTCCCCATGCCTGACATTTGATTATAAGAGGAAAACCACAGCCAAACCTAGCAAAAGCCGTTATAATTAACTCACAAGCCCTCATGGGCTCACTAGCGGTTTTTAGGTCTCAGATATAATGTCGGGTGTTATTTAGTAGACGATAGAGAAGAAGGGAACAAAACCACGCTTTGCTCTCTGTTACTGAACAGCAGCCCAGCCCAGTTCCATCCCAATGATTTAATCCAGAGTTTCCAGGCTCAAGGGAATCATTGGCATGTGATTTATTTACATAAATCAGGGACAAAGGGAGTTAACATGTTATAGGGGGTTCTTAACGGCAAGTAACAAGAACCAAATCTGACCCTTTGAAGAAGAAACAAGAATGTATTAGAGCATGTTAGGTGACTCCCAGAATCCTATGAGGCTTGGAGGCTGAAGCTTGTGGGCAATAAAGTTTGTAACAGATCCTCAAATCAGTCACAGTGGATGCCCGCTGCCTTCATCCTTGGGAAAGAAAAATGCAGCAGCTTACACTGTGGCCTTCCCTCCCGTGGGCTGAGCTACTAGATTCTCTACAAACTGGTTGGTCCTGGCTCTCTACACCTTTGAGCTCCCTTCCTGAAACTGTGGCTTTTGCCCATGCAGAGCTGTCCCGTCCACAGTGGTACCCAGTGGCACCCCGGCTTCGTCTTGACGGTCAGTGGTGTTTTGATGGGTGTTTTAGACTTCACGGAGACGGAAATCCCTGGGCTGTAGAGACTTAGTCCCACTTCTGCCATGGATTTCAAAGGCACCTCTGATTCTCTGCCTGGTGGAGCAAGCTCTCGAGTGTCTCTAAGGGAGGGGCAAATATTGCATCTCAGAGGACAGTGCAGTTTAAACTTACACTAAGAAAGAAAATTCTCACATGCTGTTTCCAGCAGCAGCTGTCAGTCTTGATTTTATGCCCAGTAGCCATCTTGGGATTGCCTAGGACAGCAAAGGACCACTGTTTTCTCCGCTGCTTGGGCCTACGGGCATACCTGACCACTTATGGTAAGGATCTTCCATCTTTTAGTTCTTTCCCATCTGCCTCTGGTGGGTGGAGGGCAGTGGAGGCATGGCGTCAATTCTTCCCATTCCGTGTATCTCGCATCACTCTTCATGTACTCATGGCCAAGACCATACACTGAATATTTAATGTGGCAGATAACAGCTAGAGAGTCATTAGCTTCCCCGCCCTTCCGCTGTCCTCTCATTGGGAAAGAAAGAGCTGTTTTGTGCTGCTTCTCTCGGGTCAGGTACCAGCTTCTGTGTCCCAGGTGCCTGGCCTTCTCTTAGATGCCTTTGCCTGGTCAGTCCAGGCCTCTGCAGGAGAAGGACTCATCCCACTTGAAGAGGGAGCGCTCTTTGTGGGTTGTAGGAAGGAGAGAGGGGAGGTGGTGGAGGCCTGAGTCTGGCTGGTCGGAAGGAGTGGGGATGTGGAACGGTGAAGGCCTGTTTCAGCCGGTCGGCACTCCATTGAACAATGCCATGTCTTCCACGAGGGCAGGCTACCTGGAGGCTTGAGAAGAGGGTGCTGACAGCCAGGGCCCCACAGCCAAGACAAGTGCCACTGAGACCCCGTCTAGCGTGCGGGGCGGGGGGGGGGGGGACGGGGGGACAAGCTGGCCGTTCCCTCCTTGGCAGCATTATAACCAGTATAGCCCGGGCTTAAGGAGCAAGCAAAGCTCACTGCAGAGGGAAACAGCGGGAGGTGACACAGCTGAGCATCAGCTCCAAACAGAAAGGACTGTTTAGGACATCTGCACCCTAGAGGGTTTCCCCTAGAGCTGGAATGGATGACGTTCTTAAAGGCCAACCTACAGTGATTTAGAATCACTTAGGAGATACATGTCTAAGTGTGCTTGTGAGGATGTTTCTACAGAGGACTGAGACAGGAGACCTACCACCCAGTGTGGCACCTTCCGCTGAGTGACTGAGGGAAAGGCACTGTCCCCTGCCTGTCTCTACCTCCTCCCCAGCAGGAACGTCTATTACCACTGCTGCCCTCTTCCACTGGCCTACCAGCATGGACTGAAGACCAGCGGCTCTCCAAGAAACCCCAAGCCTTCAGCACCAGACAAGGCCTTCTGAGGCAGCCAGCTTCATGGACCGAGCGTCTCCTGGGTTCTCAGGCTCTCCAGCATGCAGGCAGCCATTGTTGGACACCCAGCCCCTATGTATTGCTTCTATTCTTTTAGAGAACCCTGCGTAATGTCCTTGGGAACGATGTTGTCGAGATAGCATAGTTTCTGTCAGGCCCCTCATGCAATCTGCATGGTTGTTAACTGTTCCATTCTCCTAATCCGGTCAGCCCAGGTTCCTTCCTTAGCATATCATATTATTGCACTGTGACTCTGGATGTCACCAGTTTCTCCACTGATACTCTCTCTAGACCGGGGTCCACGCCTGACACCATCTTGCATCTAGCTGCCACGTCTTCTCTGAACAATGGTATAACTAGGCCTTCCTTCCTTTTTATGTCTGTAATCTTGACTGATCCTGGCCAGTGATCTCGTAGAATGCCTCCTACCTTGGGTTTGTCAAGACTTTTCTCACCGTTAGGGAGGGCCACTCTAGGGCAAACAGCCTCCTCATCAGAAGGCACAGCAGCCCACACCACATCATCCGTGTGTCAGCCTCATCTTTGGTTAAGGGATGTCTGCCCAGTTTCCCTAGGGTAAAGGATTATTTTTCCCTTTCTGTCTTCTAGTAAGCCACCCCAGTCCTTTGAACTTTGCAATAGGAAAATAATGCTGCTTGAGGCTGAGCTTGAGGAAGCGACAGCGCCTGTGACGGGGTGCCCGAGTGAAGGTTTTCTTGAAGCCCGTCACAAGAGCGAAAGCAGTGGCTCTAATGGTAGGAATTTCAGGACGGGTGACAGTTGGGTGTGGGCGTGAGCTGGTGTGACACACGCAAGCAGCCTTTCCATCCCACTACTCAGGCAGTGCCCTGCTCCTCCTATATATAGGGTGAGACCACAGAATATACTGTTTATAAAATCTTGGTACAGATTTGAAAAGTTAGCACTCCCACACACAAAGGAGGAACCATCCTACCATTTATTTTCTAATTCAGGGTGTGAGTGCGGATTTAGAAGGAGGGGCTGGTGATTATTTACCCAGGATATCCTGGTAAATATCTGAGCATCCATGGTTGGGATGTAAGCAAAGGGAAATAGGATTCCTTTTCTATTCCAGATGCAATGAGAGGATCACTCCACTTCAAAAGCAAGACCCTTCCTACACCCCCAGCTACAGAAGGGGAGATATGAAAACACCATCACATGTCCTCCTTGGAGGTCATGACCCCAACAGGAAAAGGTACTACTGTTCCCAGTGGTTGCTTTTATTCCCCAGTTGCTTCTGATGACCCCAGGTCACGGATTTCTGGGCTAAATGCTTCACAAAGCAAGCACTTCTGTGGTGGAACCAAGACCCTATGCGTGCTTCAGAGCATGTGAAATGACAGTTGAGAAGGTGGTGGAGCATGGCAGAAGTTGTTTATTGGACTTCTAACTTGTGGAAAGCAATGGATTTAGCAACAGATCTGGAGAAACAAAGCATGGTAATGTTTATTCAAGCTCTGCTGTCAAAACTGAAGTTCAGTTTCATAACCATCTCATGTCCCCTCACTATGGACTGGGATAGGGGAGGTCTTCAGAACGTTAGCATCAAGCAGAAAGTTGATAGACACGATGAGATTTCAGATGGGTCGCCAGGTGGGTGTTCTGAGGTTGGGAAGCCCAGCTGAACTTCTAAGACCAAAGCTGTCTAAAGATCAGGATGAAACTCAGCCCCTGCCCACCTCCACCTGGCTCATTGCAGAGATTTTCTTTTTAGTGTGTGTGCATGCATGAGTGTGCTAGAGGTCAACGTTGGATGTTATTCCTCAAGTCATCTACCTCATTTTTAAAATTTATTTATTGTGTGTGTATGTGTGCATGTGCGTGTGTGAGAGAGAGGGTGGGTATACAGGACCAGCATGCACACGTGAAGAGCAGCTTGTGGCAATTGATTCTCTTCTGTCAGGTGGGTCTCAGGGATAAAACTCAAGTCATCAGGCTGGGTAGCAGGCACCTTTCCCTGTGAACCATCATTTGGCGCTGCCTTGTTTATAAAAGACAGGGTCTCTCACTGGGAGAAACCTGGAGTTCACCAACTGGGCTAGGCTGGCTGCCAGGGAGACCCAGGGATCCCCCTGCCTCCGCCCCACCAGTGCTGGGATTACAGATCCGTGTACTTCTTACATGGATTCTAGAATCAACTCAGGCCCATATGCTTTCATGGCAAGCACTTGGTCCCCAGTCCCACAACATCTTTTCTTTAGTGCCTCTGGTGGATGTCCACTTGGTCCCCAGTCCCACAATATCTTTTCTTTAGTGCCTCTGGTGGATGTCCAGCTGCTTGGCAAAGGATGAGCAGAAACTGCTGCCTTTGCTCCCACAGACGCCGGTGTAAATGGAGCTGAGCCCGGAAGGGGGAGCGCAGCCCAGCCAGGAGAGAGCAAGGCAATTCAAGCCAGCAGCTGGAGTCACAAGGTGACAGAGGGAGTCCCAGGCAAAGAGGGTACAGGCAGAAAGATCCCCTGTGAGGGAGGCCGCAGCTAAGAGACCCAACCAATTTCCTTCAAAATAACTGTGGATTTTCCTTCTCTTAAAGGAACGTGGCACGGGAATGCCAAACTTCATCTGGAAAAATGCAGAAGGCAGCACAGCAAAGAGAGGTTTGGAGAGGGGGTGGGGAGGAAGGAGCTTTGGTAGGAAGGGAGATTGAAGAGCGGCTGGAAATGCTGCAGGCATAGCATTAGTACACAGAGAGAACTCAAGAATTAACCCAGACAACTGCGGACATTGAAGCACTAAATACGGGAACCCACGAGGGAAGAGACATGATTTATTCAAAAAGTGATGCAGGGGAAATGGTTATTTGTAAAAGGTCAAAATTATAGCCACCTCTGAAATAGTCAAATGCATTACGGATGGATTGGCATACAAGCAAACAAAAGCTTTTTAAAATCAGGAGAAAACCCCAACTTTGGATACTTTCTAAGTACCACATCAGTCGAATAAATGAAGAGAAAGAAAGGGATTTATGGTCCCCAGCGACATTAAACAATGGTAACTGAAGTCACATGCTGACAGAAAGATTTCGACACTGCAAGGAAGGGCCACTGTCCTTATTTTACAAGAAAACCTTACAAAATATTAAGAAAAGGGGCAGCCGGGCGGTGGTGGCGCACGCCTTTAATCCCAGCACTCGGGAGGCAGAGCCAGGCAGATTTCTGTGAGTTCGAGGCCAGCCTGGTCTCCAAAGTGAGTCCCAGGAAAGGCGCAAAGCTACACAGAGAAACCCTGTCTCGAAAAACCAAAAAAAAAAAAAAAAAAAGAAAAGGGGCAATACAAACACAGGCAATGGACATGAGCACAAAGGCAAACACCCAATGAACACAGATCATACTCGACCTCATAGCTAAAGAAAGCACATACTGTAAGTATCCAGAGTGCATGTCCCCACCTACCAGAGTGGCGAAGATTTTTAAAAAGAGGCTTTGGCAAAATGTAACATGAATATTGAAAAAAATATTTATCATCTTTGATCTCAGATTCTACCTTCAGAAATCTCTCTAATGGGTAGAAATTTGAAAGTGACCTGGCTTTAAAAGGAATGCTTTTCCCACAGGCTAGAGCTATCAGGGTAGAACGCCGCCCTAGCACACCAGAGGACCTGGGTTTGAATATCCAGCAGCTCCTAAAATGGGATGTTGGCACACAGGCCTATCATCTCAGTGGGAGAATCAGGAGTTCAAGGTCATCCTGACCTATGAGCTACTAGCTCACTTGGGCTATATGAGACTCTGAAACCCACTGTCACAACACAAAACTTAGATCTTTGCTCCAAATAATCAAGAGCTACAGAATTCTAGTGGATGCCTTCTCCTTTCACACTGTTCAGCAATATTGTGATGAGGAGCTTGCCATTAGCCCATGGAGTCACTAGTTCTGAGACAACAGGCAAGTGTGTTGCTTAGCTTCTCTGAATCTCCATTTCTTCATCTCCAAAACATGGCGTCATTCTAGGTGATACATAGTGGCCTGTAACACTTGATGAAAGAATGTCAGAGTTTTTGTCTTCATGTCTTCATCGTTCCATGATGGCCTCTCAGGAGGTCGGGGCTGGCTGAGGAAAATGATGAGGTCACCACGCTCAGTGTTCCTGTGGGAAGAGCACAGAGGCAGGTCAAACACGATCTTGGATCCCTGGATCCAGCACTGACCAGCCTAGACCCAAGTCTGATGCACCAAAGCAGAATACACACTGACCTCAAATGCTTGCGACTGTCCTAAGGGAAACCTCAAAATCATCGCTCCCCCGCAGCCTCAAAGACACCCTGCATCTGTCTCCTGCTTGAGGGGTTCACTATTGTCTTGTGCCAATAGCACGTCACCTCTGATCCATAGAGGAGACACAGCCTCCCTGGTTGATTCTGGGTGAAGTGACTTGGAGCTCTCCTCTAGATGCCCACTAAAAACTCTGAATGGGATGTCTACCACTGGATACTAAGACAGGCTGCCATGTGCCAGGAATAAGAGGAATTTCTGACATATTGTATATGGCCTGGACTTGGCTCTACTGAAGAGAAAGGGGAGCTGACCCAGAGCAAATTAGAGACAGATGTGGGGCACACTCCCAGGCCCCAGAGACCACAGCCTGGGGACTACAAAGTCCCACTCACCAGATCTGTGTGTTCCAGGGCTTCTGTCCTTATGGTCCCTTCCATCTCTTATCTCCATGTCCCTCAAGCTGACTCTGCTTGACCCTCCGTCAGCCTGACCAGAAATGCAAAGTTTTCCCTATTTCCACCAAGAATTCACTCCTCCTAAGCTCTGTGTGGGTTTGTTGTCTTAGGACAGGGGTTCCACTGGGGCAGTTTTGTCCCTTGGGGGATATTTGGTGATATCTGAAGGTTTTCAGTTACCACAGTTGGTGTGGTGTGCTGCTGGCGTTTAGTGGGTAGAGTCCAGGAGGAGTCATGTGCCTGCGCTGAAGTTGTGAAGGTCGTGAACTTGGCTGACAGCAGAGTAGTGTGTGGGTTTCCGCCATCTGAGACTTTCCCTTCCCCATTTCCTCACTTCGTCTCACTCTTCTATGATTCAGGAAGAAAACAAATTCCTCTCCCTGTGCCATGGCCTACAGATAAGTGTGTGTCTTTAGTAATAAGAACATGATGGGGGAGATTTTACCCTGTAGCTGGTCAAATTATTTCTTGAAATACTGTGGACTCCCTAAGAGGACATCTGATAAGTATGTCTGTCTTCCAGTATTACTAAAACATAAAGGAACACAAAAGAGCTTTATTAGGTCTAACATTAGTTTGTTTTCTTTCACAATCACAAAAACACCTGACACTGGGTAATACATGAAGACAAGCTCACTTAACACACAGTTCTGGAGGTGCCCAGGCTCTGGTGAGGTTCTCTTGGCTACATCTCAGTGTGGTGATTAGCAGTGGGAGCCTATGTAAGAAGCTAGAGGAATTCATACCAACTTGCTCTTGGGAGAAGTAGCTGAGGTTTTGAGATGGCAGCATTCCCAATGACATACTCACCGTTTTACTAGACCCCACCTCTTCAAGGGTCTGTCACCTCTCAGAATCACAGCAGAAACCCAGCTTTTAGTACTGAAACTTTCTAGGACAATCTCAAATCATGTCCAGACCACAGACCAGAGCTAGAGAGGTACGAGCATGTGGAGCAGCAAGCGGGGAGGGAATGGGGAGTACGGAAAGCGGTGAGATTCCTCCAGCACTACCACATGTGGGGGACAGTCATTCCCAGTTCCAACATCTAGGGTGGAGAGTTGGAGGGCAGAGCCACACACGTGGCAAGGGAGCTTGCTCAGAGGACAGTTGCTCCAGACAAAGTGTGTTTGCTGCTGTCAACATGACCAGACTCTCCTGCGCAAAGGCCCGAGGTTCGGATAACCCCTTCTCTTCTCCATCTCCCACCGCTGCCACTTGACTCTCTACGGAAGCTGGTGAGCCTCTGACCCGGCAGAGCAAATTTTACTTGCATACAAGCTCTTTAAACAGATGGCATATCACTTAGAAAGAGACTTCAGCTCCCCATTGTGGAAAGAAAACATTTTATCCATCTCTGGAACTTTCAGTGCAGACAGGATGCATTGGGCATGAAAGACCTCTTTCCTCTAAAAGACAACTGGACGTTGCTCAAAAGACACAAAGTTATAGCCAGATGAGAAGATTAAGTGTGAAAGTGCTGTTGTGTCTCTCTGTGATAATAGGTCGTCCTCTGAAAAAGCATTAAGAGAATGGAGGGTCCACGCTCCTAGCCACAAAATGATGATTATGGGAGGCAATGCATGTGTTAATTAGGTAGGTGTAACCATTCTTCAAAGCATGCACACCTCAAAACATCATGTAAATAAATACACACAATTTTATGTATCAATTAAAAATTAATTGGAAAAAATCAAGATGGGGTTTATTCTAGTTTCTTTTGTTGTTATTATAGGGTGATAAAAATATCCTACAAAAACAAGTGGGGGCATTTATTTTGGCTTTAAGTAAATGAAAGGATTTATCATAGTCCCAGGTTACAGCTGGTGACAACAGAGGCGTCCAGATAGTAGGAACTTAAGGCAGTGGTCCAGTCACAGCCACAGTCAAGAGCCAAGAGTACTAAACACAGGTGTGGCCGCTTACTTGTGCTCAGCTTACTTCTCCATCCTTACACAATTCAGGACCCCTCCTAAAGAACAGTGCTGCCCACAGTGGCCTGGGTCTTCCCATATCACTAAATTTAATGACAGTCCCCCAGAGACCTACCTGATGCAGACAGTCCTTCACGGAGATTCTCTTCCCAGCGACTCTAGAGTGTGTTCTGTTGACAGTTAAAGCTAACCATCACCATGTCTGTCCGAGGAACTGAGCAAACTGTTCCCCTGTGAAGGAAACTCAGGACACGGATGGTGTCAGTGAGATCTAAGAGGACATGGCAGCCAGAGAAGCAGTCCAGGCATCCTTGAAAAAATGAAAGCTGTGACTGCCTAACTCCAAGCCCCAGGGGGCAGATTTTCACTATGGGGAGGCAGGAAGGAAGTTAAGAAATTCTCTCAGAAACAAAAGGAAGATTAAAAAGAGATGATGAGTCTGGTTTGATAATAAGACATATTAATTTAAAAAGAGAATCAGAATCGAGGGTGAAAGAGAGGCAGAGGGTTTTCTACATATTTGTTTGTTTTGTTTTTCCTCCAGGGAATGGTCAGGGCCTTCCTAGGAAGGGTGCCTTCAGGCACTACCAGGAAGTTGGTCTGTCCTAGGAACGGACAGAAGTAAGCCTTACTAAAGTCGGACTGCGCAGGGGACTTTGGTAGGACTCTTCCACGCGCCACAGCTAGGCTTAGAGAGAGCCTGGGCAGACACGGGGAAACATGAGAGCTCTTGGGGCTTCAGGAAGACAAGAAGGTCTGAAAGCATCGCCATGAGCATCGCAGTCCACACAGCAAACTGAAAAACTGCTTGTGTCAGGGGGATGTGTGTTTCCATGTCTAGACAGCCTTCTCTACTGGGGTAGATGTTCAGAAAGTGAGCTCCGAGCAAAGGGGTTGGTGAAAATCTTCTAACAAGCAGGCCTGAGAAAATGACACTGGCCTTGTCTAAGCCTGCAGGCAGGACACACGCTCCTCTGCGGCGGGGCTCATACTGGGCTGGAGTGAGGACGCTCACTACTATCCTCAGACTCTGCTGACGCTGCCCTTGTTCCCACTCTGTCTTAAGGACAGTCTTCACACGGAGGCTATGGCAGCGTCTGTCTGCCTGTTCCTGCTGTGTGCCACCTGGGCGTGTGGTCTCACACCTGTCCCCTGTCTGCTTGCTCCAAAGTGCAGTGTTTAACTCTTTGGAGTGGGCACAGACTGCATGATCAGGACATGAATACTACTTATTTGGAAGGCAGAATCCATCTTGATTGGAATATGAAATGAAAACTTATTCCTGGGTAGTACACACCAGGACTCTGTGATACTTCTCACGTAACACCTCACTGTCTGCGACAGTTCTGGGGTCCCCTACTGTGTGACCCACTTCATGCACAATGCTGGCTCAGGACAGAAAACCAACACCCCAGCCCCACAGAACCATTCCCAGTGGGAAGAAGGCGACCCCTGATCAGGAGAGTTAACAAATCCCAATGCCAGAGCCAGCTGCGAGGGCTTAAGGAGGAGCCTGTGGGGTATTACAGATGCTGGACAGCCCACTCCATCCCTTCTGCTTTTGCAGACCCAAAGAAATCCTGTAGCTTTGAAGTTCTGAGCAGGAAATGAGGACATGGAAGATCAGATAACCCTGAGATGTCTTCAGAGGGAAAAAAAATCCACGGAGTAGATGATAAAATGGGGCAGCAGCGCTTTTATATTTAGCTGTTTATTATATGCAGTGTTTATATATCTTTTATCAGGTACTTATTTTATTTTACTATATTTTAAGCTAGTCAAGAACGTAAAACAAACATCTGAGGGCTGCTGGCTCAAGAGCTGAGCGGTCCAAGACTCAGAGTTCACATCTCTAGGATGCTTTGAGTCACCAAAACTTACTGGGAACCCAGTGGCAGTTAGGACCTGGGAAGCAGACCGCTGAGGACAGAGAAGGGTCCAGGCCTAGGGCTTCCGGACTCAGGAGCAAGCCTCCTGTTGTGCTTTTGATTTGAATGCCCATAGCCTGTCTTCCCGTGAGATTATGGTGGAGAGATTACCACATTCATTGACCTCAGTAAATTCTACCCCTACACCCTTAGTCACTTCCCATGGTGATTCTGGGTCCAGCAGTTGACTTTCTTGGGCCAATCAAATGCCATCAAACATGATATGAGGAGCTTGAAAAGTGCTTGTGTATTGAGGCTGGCCTTTTCAGAACACTGCCTCCCTGTGAGGAATCACCTGACCCAGTTGTTGACAGCTGACACCAACCTGCTGCTGTGTTAGCCCCAGAAGAAACGCCAGATCCATGAGTTCAGGAGCATGAGCCACAGAAGAAACACTAACCCAGCCCTGCCTGAACACAGAATCCTGAACAAGAGTAACAGTGGGGTTTATTAAGCAGTGATAGCCAGCTGGCCAGCTGTCCAACGCTTCTTGTCACCTTTACACCTAGCACCTCGCCCTGCGTGTAATATGTGACCAATAAATAGTCTCTCTATAGCTTCTGTTTAAGGAGACACATAAAGGAGAATGAAAAATAGTCTGGAATGGTTAGATCTGGACCTCACGCTGTGGCTCAGGCTAAGCATTTAATCTCTCAGTGACTCTAGTTTATTTCTGGATTGGAGATTTCATGCCATGAAGTCTAGGTGAGAACAGTTGCTGTAGATGGATTTCATTCTTCTCTAACTGCATTGTGAGCAGAAAGATGTCATCAACATTCAAAAGGGAGACATTTAACCCAGTCTCCAATTTCACTTCTCTCCCCTGTCCGATGAGTTCAAGGCTTTGGGGAGAAGCCTGGGCATCGGCTGGACCAAATGGTGGACATTTCAGCAGTCCCCTGCCTCCTGAGCTGACTTTTCCCTTCCCAGGAACCATTCTTCCCAACCGACACAACCCGAACGCACCCCAGGGGCTATTCACAAACCTGCGAATATTTTCCTCATGGAGTGAAAAGAGGAAAAGAGAACTTCATGGAGTGAACTGCATCAGAACTTCTTGGGAATTTTAAGATATTTGTCTTTGACTCAAAGAATAGCTTGTCTATTGGCCCCGGGTTTACAGGTTATGGCCAATTATGTAAATAGTTTGTGAATGATTTTATGGCTGATAAATATAATTAAAAAGTGGAACAAATAGACTGTGTGCTAACTACAGCCTTTTTCTCAGAATGATTTATTCAGTGAGTCATATTGTTCTTATCTCTCCTCCAGGGAGAGGGCATCCTGGCTGCCTTTCAGTTGCCAGGTTCTCTGAAACAGCATTGCCCTCTCTGCACCGGAGGAGCACGTGTGTGCAGAGCTGCCTTGACCTCGGAGGAAGGTTAGCCCTTTCCTTCCTTCTGCAGCCTCTCCCACAAAGGGGGAAGCAGCACTTGTCTCGGGCAATTGATTTTGCAGGTACTGCTTCTAAAAATCCTTCATCAGCCACTACTCCATCAAGGTCAAAGCCCTGGGGACAGGTTTCCGCTGAGTGGCATCCCAGATGCTGTGCCTTTCCTTTAGGGCTTCCCAAGGCTGCCATCTGGGTACATGCCCTTGGATAGCCTGAGGCTTTTGGAGCACGTGGGACTTTGTCATGAATGGATGTCAAAGACATGACCTTACAGGATCTCCATGTGAAATTCTCTCATGGATTCATCCCTGTTACACATAACCCCCAACCATCATCAGCAATCAGTCAATCAAAAATCAACCATGAGGGCCTGTTAGAAATGGTCCAGTGAGGTAGCAAAGAAGCATCACATGGAGTCTCTGGTCAAGCACATGAATGATTTACATATTAAACAAAATAAAGTTGAATCAACAAAGATAGGAGGAAAGGACTCAAAGTGAATGCTGATAGAAGCAAATCAGCTCAAATGTATTTCAGGATAGAGTGGGTGCATTCAGGGTGGTTTGGCTGCAGACCCAAATGTATTTCAAAGAGAAATAACCATGAGGCATGATGTGGGGTGGAGAGGTGGAACTAAACCAAGTCATTGTTGAATGTATTACCGTGAGTGTAGACACTCAGTTGGTAGAGAGCAGCAGAAGCTGCAAACAGACTTGGAGCCCCGGTTAATACATATCTGTAGTAACTAGGAGACCGTGGCTGCTGTGGAACTAAGCAAATGAATCAGGGTTTTGAAGCCAGAACCTTCCCATCACAGAAAATGAGATATGCACATAGAGGAGGGGAAAGCCAAGACAACTCTTCCCGAGTCCAGACTGCCATTCGAGATGTCAGGAAAGTTCGTGACTTCTGCCCTGACCCCCCTCAAAAGTTTCCATCCTTTCCTTTCTGGCGGGCTTTTGCATCTCAGCCCGCCTCACTACAGTATTAGGTAAAGCCCTCAATATCCCTTCTGTGCATGAAAACTCCCCAGGGGCAGGCCTGGGGAAATGGCTCTGCAGGTTAAGATATTGCCACCAAGCCCAAGGACCTGAGTTTGCTGCCTGAAATCCACAAGGAGGAAGAAGAGAACCAACTCTTATAAGCTATCTTCTGACCTCCACTTTCATACTGTAGCATGTGCCCCCCTCCATATACATGCAGTAAATTAATTTTAACAAACAGTCCTTGGCTGGGGAGATAGCTGAATTGATAATTTAGTGTACAAGCATGAAGACCGGTCTCGGATCTCCAGCACCTACATTAAAAACCAGGTGTAGTGGCACACACTTGCAACCGCAGAGCTGGAGAGGTAAAGACCAGAGGACCCTTGGGGAACTTCTAGCCAGCCAGTCAAGCTCGATCAGTGAGCTCCAGGTTCAGTGAGAGAGCCTGTCTGAAAAAAGCATGAGTGGTTGAAGAAGGTGCCCTGATGCAGATCTCTGGCTTACACGTTTGTGTGTGAAATCCTTCACACATATATGCACACAAACACATGTAAACACCACCACCACCACCACCCCACACATCAACAAAATGAAACAAAAACACACTACCTTTCCCCCATGTCTTCTATCTTATCTTCCCTAGGCTGTGCTATTTGCTTCTCTCTAAACTTCAGTGGTGAGAAGTGGGGTAGAGCAGGTACATGGAGGAAGGAAGGTCTCTAGGTAGCACCAAGGTGGAACTTGGAGAATAGTGGTCTGCAGGGATGGGGGTCAAATTGTGCTATGAGAGTTTATCAGAAGGACCAAGACAGACAAATCAAACAAGCCACCCACTAGATCTGAAGTTGAACTCTTATTTCCATGACTTGTTGGCTAATGACCATGAGGAAGCCATCTTTTCAGGACCTTTTTATAAACAAAAGGACAGAATGATAGAACCGAGAGTTCTCCTGTCTTACAGGCAGACTCTCTAAGATATATTGTGGGTTATCTTTGTAGATGT